GAGAAATAATCAAACATTTACAAATTTAGGAAGTTTGCTTGCAGCACTCGCATAACCGTATATATTCGGGGTGTCGAGATCTCGCAAACAAGGCATCAAACAGGATGACTACATCGGTGCACAGTTAGCCACTAAAATATTTCATTTTTCCTGCGAATGTACTGGCCTGATGAAGAGCTGCTGAAGACATATGTTTGCAAAATCGACTATTCAAATTAAACATGGGAATATCTGCAGAATTTAGACAAAATAACTTTTGAAAATTGGGTGTTGTCACCGTCAGAAAGAGCACGTCTACATCCGATTAAACATGTGAATACTCGGGATAGCATCAAGAATCAATGACATTGCTGCCTCATTGCATTAAATCAACATAAATTTCATCTACGTCTTGGTGATAACAGTTCACTTAAAACGCATTGGCCCATTCGCGAACCGATCAGAAGGGACCTCGGCTTCCCCACGTTTTCCAGCCCAGGCCAAAGTGGATGTCTAAAAGTTAGCAATTACCGCGGGGATGACTTTTTTTTTATGACTCGTCCCCAATCTGCGCTTCCGACATATTTCAATATTTAGCTCGGAAAATAGTCTTTCAATTCGTAAACTCACAAGCGAATATCATGACCCATGTAGTGCATAGATGTAACAGCAATGCGACGATGCAAGTTGGTATTTTCCGCTGCGGTTGCTAAGATCATACCGCCGAAGAACAAGAAGGTAGAGCTCTGAGGAAGAGAGAGAATAAGAAGAAGAGTGAAAAATGACAAGTCTCCACTGCGTACTTAGAAGAATTCTTTCTCGTTTTAACACCTGGCCAGTTTGTTTGTCACCAACTTACCGAAAGGTAGGCCTTGGATATGACAGCACTGGGAAGCAGTCCCATGAGCGGTGCAAGGACAAGCGGAAAAAGAGCAGTCACATAGAGAGGAATGACGCCAGTCACCCAAAAGCCGCTCATTAGAAGTAGAATATAGGCTGCCTTTGATTCCTACAATACATTTAAGAAAACGGACACCAATAACGTACATCTTGCTGAGGAGATGCTTCAGAGAGCATAAAACCAGGAAATATCCAATCGACAGTTCGACGGTCGATTTCATCGATGTCCACCGTGGGTTTTCTCAGTCCTTTGAGAGCACCTATGGATCCGACGTGACATCTCCATCGCCACGAAGATTCGTGTATACCGTGCATCCATCCGGTCAGTCCTCCCCTATGGATCCTGGGCTGTGCACGTTGAACTCCTCTATGGATGTGAATGCTGGGCTGTGCGGGCTGAAGATGAGCGAAGACTAGGAAGTCTTTGACCACCAGTGCCCGAGACGATCCTGCGAGTTAAGTATAGCGACTTCATCTCAAATGAGACAGTCTGCATCCCCTGCGATCGCATCAACAAGATATCTCAGGCCATTCAAGAAAGGTGACTGAGGTGGTTTGGACACATTCTCTGTCGC